GGAAGGAGTGATTAACATCTTTAGTGAATAAACAATATTCTCATAGTCAAAAATAAGACTGGAGTTTGCTCTGTTTTGCTTATTAACTTGAACCTCCAACTCCCTTGTGTGTTCTTTTTCTTTCCCTTTCTTATTTTCCTCATTTTTCTTTCAGCAAAATTCTCATTAACACATTTTAATGAGTATAAATGCGGACTCCATGTCTCGGGAAACAGCAGCCAAACAGCGTGAAGAGAGGGAAAGAGATTAGATAGGCATGAGAATATCAATATAGATATAAATAAAATCTCCCTGGTGCATCTTCAAGTCTCTCTGCCCTTTATTTGGCTTCTCTTTGTTCTTCTCTAATATGTCACTGTGACATACATCATAGTTTAAACTCGAGAACTATGAGAGGTTCCTGAGAGCCATTCTGCTGTCACCCATAGTGAGATCCTGGGCTAAGACTGACTTTTGATTAGAATCTCTCCGAACAGTTCCAGAACTCTAGCCAGCGTGCATGTCTGGTCTATCAAGCCTTTGATCAGGGATATTGGAAGAGACTTTAAGAGTGACCCATCCATTTTTGTCACATTTCCTGTTCGTGTACCAGAGTTCATGCTACCAGGTCCCTTTGACCTTGACCTCTGTCAAGGGCACATATGGACATGACTGTGGTTACTGAGTTTCATTTTTAAGACATCCTCACAATAGCCCTATTTGGAATTATGGATACCGTATGTCAGGCTGGCAGATTATGTCTTCCTGAATCTGTAGCCTCTTTTAATGTCAACATTGTCACACTAACTGTACTTTTAGTATCTTTTAAAAAACAAAAAAATCATTATGAGGAAAATCCCCCCTAAGTTCACTAATTTTTATATTGACAAACTCAGTAGAAAAAACATTAAAATGCCTAAAGTTCTTTTGGCATTTAAAATGTGCCAAACATGGAGTCAAATATTTTATAGTGATTCTCTAGTCTCTAGTGATCATCTAGTGATGCTCATGATGAACCTATAGGGTTTGCCCTTTGATTGGTTCCATCTTGCAGATAGGAGAACTGAGTCTGAGACAGGTAAAGTAGAAGATTCAAAGTCACACATCTAGTAAGAAGCAGAGCAAGGACTTAAGACCTAGGAAGTGTGGGTCCAGAGCCAGGTTGTTTAACTTCATTGTGATTTAGATGATCATTTAAAAAGAGTAAGAGACTCTCAAGTTGGAGTCTGTAGGATTGTCATGAAGACAAATGAGGTAATATGTACAGAAAAATCACATAGTGCTGGTTACACTTAATGAATATTACTTGCAGGGACAATAAGTGTCTTTGCTCATGACCTCCAATGATCAAAAAAGTATAGTAAAATGAAACGAAATGAAATAAAACCAAAGAAGAGAGATGCAATAAAGTAATAACATCTTTTCCATGACTGGTGTGAAAATTGAGGACAAGGAGGCCATTAGTTTGGAACTGTGGCCTTTGTCATTGGCTAAGTCAGCTGAGGGTGTGTGAGATGGATCTGTGACCCATGGCTTTGGCATCTTGATTGAAGTAAGAGTCCCTGGCCTTGGGCAGCAACAGCAGCAGCAATGATAGAAGGCACCCGGTGAGCAAGGGAAACAGAATGGACATTTGATGTCTTTGGTGACTGACCTTGCAGCATTATGATTTAGAGAGTGCAAGAGAAAAAGATAAAAGTTAGTTAAGTTTCAGAACACCAGGGAAACCCCTTCCTGTGGCCTGGCAGGATTCTACTGGGGCCACATGGATACAAGCTTGCACTTTGTCCTTCTCCTCCGAGGCTGGTACATCCTGGAGAGCAGGAATGTTTCTTACCGCCATCCCTGACATTTGTGTGAACTTTCTCTTTCAGGCGTGTGGTGAGCACAGGACCTGGAGAACTCTGTGGAATATCTACATGCTGAGGGAATTACAAAAGCCCACACTTGTCGACATATTGCGAGTCCATAAAAAAGTCAAGAATCTCTTCCAGACCACAACTCCATTTAATCATCCTTCCTTTCTCCTTTTGTAAAACTTGGGTTGAAGGGAGGGGAATGAGAGAAAGGATTTAAGATATATTATGTGCAGGTAAAGATTTCCTGTGACGAATGTGACCGTTATGTATGTCAGAAGTGTACCAATAAAATCAATTTAAAAAAGACCACAGCTAAAAACAAACAAACAAATGAACAAACTATGAGCTGAAACCAGAGAAGTGAGTAACTATGAAGGCAGAGATATTGGACTTGAGACCTCCTCACAAATGACTCTCAAAAGGTTTTAAAATTCAGTGCAAATCTACCCCAAAATAATTAATGACAATTCTTGTCTCTACTGAAATTTGTTAGCTCCAGTCCTTGTTTACACCCAGGATTACTATACTAGGATTGCTATGGCACATGTATGGAATCCAGGAAAATAAAGTCTAGAAAGTAAAGTTGCCGTGGTTTGGATTCCTGGAGTCCAGAAGTACCATATGCAAATTCTGCTGGGGGATTGGAATCTTTGCCTTAGAACTACAGCAATCCTTTGGAATGTCCACAGGTTAACTTCAACCAAAGAGAAATTCTAAGGAAAGATGATGAAATAACATGGAAACAATGGCAATTGGCTACCACGCAGCAGGTAGCAGAAACAGCCACAACAGAAGATGCGTATTTGTATGGATAAGATAAAGAAGGGATTAAGCATAACGATGATATGCAAGGTGGCAGCTAACAGCTAACAGGTGTTTTCGACTTGTTATATATCAGCCACAGTTTTGAGTGTTGTGCAAACATGCCCGAAGAAAGAGAAGAGCAGAAGCTAGCTCTGGAAAAATATCCTTTAGAGAGAGAAAATACAAATGCTAGTGCAGTGCCAGTATTTTAGGCATAAGTTGTACAGCTCACCTGAGCCTCAATATACTCAGCTATGAACTAGAAACACAGAGGGTGAGATTTTTGAGACTATTTCTGGAGTTTAGATTTTGTCAACACTAAATGATTAAGAGAAAGAGGAGGGGAGAGAGAGGCATGGGGTGGTGTGAGAGAGAGAAAGAGACAGAGAGAGAGAGAGGGAGAGGGAGAGAGAGAATATCTTGATTTACTCAGTGTTTTCCGCACACATTCTTTCTTGGAGATTCCCATTATTTTGTAGATTTATAAAGTGAATGTATATTTACAAAATCATAATTCAATGCTTCAAATAGTATTTTATATCTCCAAAAATCATAGAAATGTCTGAGAATCATTTTGATTTGAGAAGAGCAAGCTACAGAAGTATCACACCACCAGTTCCTTTGGTCATTTGGGTCGCATTCTCTCCACCTACAGTGGACCACAGCAGGTCCAGTCATTATTGAGGCTAATGTAATGAATAGTTATTAAAAGTCTTTTTCATTAGAACAGCTCATTTGTTTAGCCCCTCCTTGGGTTTAGAATCCCAGAAAAATTATTCTCTTCTTACTGAAAGACTGCTCACTGAGTGGGGTTGTTCTCACAGTTGAAGAGATAATGAATCCAGTTAGTGTGCCTAGCAGATACTTATTCCCCTTAGCGTTCGTGGTTTGGAAACAGGGAAAGCAAACTTCTGACTTAGGAAAGCAGATGGTGAATTAAACAGAAGGTAGAGTGGGATGGCTCACACAGAACCCACGGGAAGCCTGGCGAAACGGCCCTGGAAAGTGGGCAGGGACCAAAGGAGGGAAAGCCCAGCCACCATCCTGCCAGGGAACCCACGATTAGGCAGCCACTCCAGTGCGGCATACACTTGCCAACACACCAGTGGCATTCTTAATCTCCTTCTTCGACAAATAGTCTCCGCTGTTGTGACTCCAAGTCACTCCTTCAAGTTCAAAGTCTCACAGGGGATGTGGATTCCTGTCTGGCCACGTGTAGATCACATGCTGGTGCCCTTGGTACTAAGGTGTGGAGAGAGTATCTGGCCTCCTCGGGCTTCTGCCAGAACAGGATAGTGATATTGATGCCGGAAAGGCACAGAACAATTCTCTCAACACCACAGTGACTATAGTTAACATCAGATGTGTTGAATTCTTCAAAAATGCAGAAAGAATAGATTGTAAGTCTACTATCACAAAATGACAACCGTCTGACTTAATGCATATGATAAAGAGCTTCCATATGGCATGTATTTTAAAACATCATGTTAACACATACAATTTTGTGCATACAATTCTATCTGTCAGTTAGAAAAGTAAAATTAGAAAAGGCAAACTTGCTTAAAAAGTATAGAAAGTTCATATCATCAGAGAACTCCAAATCCCCAAGCCACTTTATTTTCATTTTGATGCATATGCACATGTGCAAGCGCACACACACACACACACACACACACACAATGTATGTATATTCTTATAATGTAACTTCTTATAGAAAAATACAAATGGGCAACATGTATTTCAATAAGCATTTTTGCAACATTCTTTTCATTAATAACAGATACAAATAATTTTGCATACAATGACTTCTTTGTGCATGTGTCTGTGGCTTCCTGGCCTTGCTAGAACTCTGTCTCTCTCTTTAGGCTCTGAGCTCCTTGACAAACAGAACAATCAATCATTTTTCTTTTTTCTTTTTGGTTTTTTGGTTTTTTGAGATAGGGTCTCACTATGTAGTTCAGACTGCCCTGGAACTCACTGTTTAGCCCAGGTTGGTCTCGAACTCACAGCAATCCTCCTGCCTCAGCCTCCTGAGTGCTGGGATTACAGGTGTGCGCCACCACGCCTGGCACAATCCATCATTATTATGTCTTTAGTATTTAACCTCTGTCCTGCCCAGGGTGGGTCCCTGTATGGGGTCAGGAGGACTATACTAGCCACAAAAGAAAAAAAGAGTCCAGTGAATAGTTTTGTGATGCATAGTAATGTCTTACTGAAGTTAGGAGCTAAAACGCCTACTTTCTCAATCTGACTGTGGAGCAAAAGGTTATTGCCAATTTCACTCTTTTCTAGTTGCGACAGTCTGTGTTCTTCCTCAGCACTTCGGCCTGATTCGTTCCTGTGCTGGGAACAGACTCTGCCTTTCCCTCTGACTGAAGCAATGGCAAAACCTCTTCCTACTGGTGCTGAGTTGCACTTCTGCTGGCCTTTGAAGTTGAATTTCAGAAAGAAAGCAACCACTACAAAGATGCATTTTTGTTTTGCTATAGTTCCTAAAACATTTGCTGAAAATCCTACTGAGCCGCAGTTGGTGCTGACGACACAGAAATGATTCAACTGCCCGAAGCGAGTTAATGGAGTTTTCTAAGCACCGATGGCATTCAGAGAAGACAGCACCATCGAGGCCTTTCCCAAGTAAGCTTGATGCTGTTCCCACCCTCTTGTAGATCAAACTTTTCCTTAGATGATGTGAAGAGATTACTAACACATTCATGTAAAATAACATGAGCATTATGTGAATCACCATGTGTGCAGAATCTTGAAGCAGTGATAATTTTGATCACCTTGTGTACATAAAACTGACTTAAGGAAGTTTGAATAATAATGTGCATTATGAAAAGTCTGTCTATCTATCTATCTACCATCTATCATCTCATTATAGTACAGAGGAAAGTTTGTTAATGTCTCCATTTTATTAGAGGATGCAATGGAGCAGGAGGAACAGTTGGCTTCAGAGTTAGTTGACATTTGAAAGGAGTTGCAGTGGATTTGCTACAATTCACTAGAGAGCCTAGGAAGGATGATAGAGAGAGAGAGAGAGGGAGAGAGAGAGGCATGTGCAGAAGCAAAGACAGGTGTAATGTGGGTAGTTTTGGGAAAAGCCAAGAAGCCTATTGTCATTGGAGCACGGACATGAACTTCAAATTAAATAGCACGTTCCAAAAATATGCTTCATTGGAGAAAGGGAAAAGCTACTCATCCCTCCATTGCATTTTCTCCCTTCCTCTGTGGTGCTGGGGGTTGAACGCAGGGTCTTATGCATACTATGTAAGCGCTCTAACAACAACATCCCTAGGCTGCGTTCCATCTCATTGACCAACTCCCATAGTCAGAATAACAAGTGCAATTCTCAGTATGAGTCTGCACTGTTTCCCATGTATTAAGTAGCCTTATACTCACAACATTCTCTGGTGATAAGTAAGGGAGGCATTTCAGTTCGTGCAACCTGCGGGTGACTTCTCTGTCAACCACCATTCTGTACTACTATGTGCAGAGGTGTGCGCCCTGCGGCAAAGATGCAGAGTTCAACCTGCCTTCAGAGCTTACATTCATGGGGAAAGGTCAAATAAGCAAAAATAAGCACAAAATTAAGACTTTATTTCTAATTATAGCGAGTATCACAAGAGTGTAAGCCTGGGCACTATACTAGGACCTGGAAGTGGGGAAGGGACTGAAGAGCCAGGACAGTTGAACCTGAGAAGCTGATAGTTATTCTGCGTGTGGCCTTGGGGATGAGGGGGATTTGTACGGGTTAGGAGGACAGAGACTGAGAGGAGAATCCCATTCCTAGAGCAGGGAGTATCCCATGTGCAGGCCTTAGAGCAAAGGGGAGCTGGCCTCTTTCAATGTATAGATAAGCAGAACGAAGGCTGGTGCCATCCACAGACAGCAGAGGGAGACCGTCCCTTAAGTCAAAGGTGGCAAGGATGTGGGTACATGATTCTGTAGGGTCTCCGTCGAGATTTTGCACTTTCTAAGAGCATAGGTGTGATTCTGAGCACAAGTTTGGTATGGTCAGCATTTTACAAATCTCACTCAGGCTGCTGTGTGAATAACAAATTTGTGCAAGAATGAGTGTGTGTGAGAGGATGGGCAGAGAAGGAGGCCCAGAATGGCTGGAAAGGGGCCCCTCTGCAGGCTGACGTAGTAATGATGGTGCCTGGGCAGGGTGGAGGCTGAGGAGATGCAGACAGGTGCAGCAATGCAAGAAATAGTTTGGAGTCAGCATTTACAGGAAATCGTGACCAGTTGCATGTAGGGAGTGAGAAAGCTAGGATTGCCTGAGGTGACTACCAAATTTCACACCTGTTTGAAGCAGGGGTTGGTTAACTTTTTCAATGAAAGCTCAAGAATATTATGGGCTTTGTAGACAATATGGTCTCTTGCAATTGCTCGATTGTTCTATCATAATGCAAAAGAAGCCATGAAGGTGCCCAATGAGCACGGCTGTATTCCACTGAAACTGTCTTTAAACAGAGGAAGTGGGCTAGGTGAGGTCCACGGGCCCTCGCTGGCTGGGTCCTGATTTGGAGAGTATGAAGGTCACTGAGATTTGTACCCTGGGGGAGAAGGGACGAGGCCAGTAATGGCTTACAGTATTTCATCTCCTTGTCACGATAGCACAATGCAGGAACGGTTCGTGCTGCTAATTGACTCTTCCAAGATCACACAGTTAGTAGGTGGAAAGCCAGTATTTGACGCCAGATCCATTTTTTAAAAAATTTCTAAGTCAGTGAAAGACCTCCCTGCTATCCCATGAGGTTTCCTATTCCTTTCTCCCTACTACTATCACCAAGAGTGGCAAAACTTTGTTTTGCAAGATTTTCCACTTTTCTGAAGGGTACTTTTTCCCAAAGGACACTTTTCCATTTCAAATAATTTTTTTAAAGAGCCAAACAACAAGAAGGACAGCGTGTCTCTAAATGTACCATTGCTGCTTTTGTTTGGTACAATGGGCTTTATATTGCTTTGTCCAGTTTCTATGAAGTGGGACATAGGAGGTTTTCAAGAAATTAGCATCGTATTTCTCTCTGTCTCTCTCCCTCTTAATTTTTTCTCTTGACACAATTTTGTCTTGGGGATAAACAGCGTTATTTCATTCCCTCCATTTGAGCCCCACACGGAACATTTTCTATTAAAATTTAAATAAGCCACTTCAGAGACAGATGAAGATGTGAGCCTAAAATGAGCTGATTCACTAGAACTTGTTCCTGAGACTATAACTTATTTGCTCTTATAGCTTATGCAACTGGGTTTCATAATAGAAGTTTTAAGTGGGCCAGCATCATGTTGCTACAGTCATTTCCTCTAACTTCTCCACCTAGAGCAGCCTATTGCAAAGGGAGAAAAGGGAGACAGAAGCTCCAGCTCCCTCCCTCTGCCCCATGGGGACCCAATTATTATTCCAGGAAATTGCTGGAAGTGACAGTTTTTGGGAGATATACTACGTGCTGTTTGTTTGATCGTGATCACACCATAACAAACCATAACAAAAAATGACTTTGCTGCTAGCTGATTGTTCAAATTTCTCTCCCTTTTTCCTTGATGGAAGTAGGAGAGACCACTTACCAAGGTAGGGATGTCTATGTGAGGTAGGTAGGGTGCTGAGGGGAGACAGGAATGAGGACAAAGACCCAAGAGGAGAGGCTACATGGCTTCTAAGTCAGACAGTCTTAAGTCAGGGCACAGAGTAAAGCTTTCAGAACCAATTTGGTGAGATAACTGTAAGCGTGGTATGGGAGAAGCAGAGTAGGTAGTATGGGAGTTAAGTCTGATTGGTTATAGAGAAGAACATTATCCAAGCTTTGTTCTTTACAAATCAGTGTGCCAAGAGAGAAATGGTTCTTTGGTTGAGTGACTTGGAAAAAACAGCAGTCCTCCCTTATACGTGATTTTGATTTGCATGGTTTGAAGTTACTTGTGATCCACTGATGTATGAAAACATTAAATAGAAAATTCCAGAAATAAACAAATCATACGTTTTAAGTTGCAGGTAGCTTTCTGTAGCACGAATTCCACTCTGTTGTGCCCAGGATGTGAATTACCCTTTTGCCTAGGGATCCATAGGACATATGCTGCCTGCCTGTTAGTCTCTCAGGAGGCATCACAGTGTCAGGGAGACTGCACCAGTATCGTAGTGCTGTGTTAACATAATCATTATTGTACGTAATAATGGTCCCCAGGTACAAGGGTAATGATGTCAGCAACTCAGATATGTCAAAGAGAAGCTGTAAAATGCTTCTGTTAAGTGATATGATGAGAGCTACCAACTCAAAGAAAGAAAAAAAAAGTCATATGCTTAGGGTGCTAAGATCTATGGTAAGAATGAATTTTTATCTGTAATATTATGAAGAAAAAAATATAAAGTTGTTGAATCTTGAATGGCAGCAGTTACAACCACAGTGAATGATAAGTTCTCAGTTAATACAGAAAAGATATTAAGTTTGTATGTGCATGTACAAGAGAAACAATGTACTTTTGGCTCCGTTGTGGTTTCAAACATCTACCGGGGATCTTGGAAAAGATCCCTTGTGAATAGGAAGGAGGGGCTTCTATACATAATCCTGGATTTGTGGAGAGATATAGTGATAGGATAGTAATAAAAGCAGTACGATGTAAAAAATAATAGTGACAATATAGGTGATTGCTGACTTGAGTCTTATTAACACTCCCCAGTACTCAGTCTTCCCCCCATTCTGGGCACTTGGAAGGAAGGCATTTCTTTGCCATTTAAGTTAGGTTTACCAACCAGACTTGCTTGGGACAGTGGGATGTGAGTAGAAGTGATATAAAACATCTAGTTCTCATTTCTTCAGTCTTCTTTTCTCCTTGCCTCTACACCTAGTGGAGTTTCCTGAATGAAAATGACTTCTCACTTCACCACCAACTTAGGGGAATGTACAGGATAAGCAGAAACTCTCCTATTTTCTAAACCACTGAGATTCTGAGGTTGTATACCACGGAAGTGAGACGTGACATCCCAAACTGAATGTATTTATGTATTAGAAACATATACTAATAAGAACATAACCTGACCTATCCTGACTGATAAAGTAGCTAACAGATAATGAGTTCCCAACATGTGCTGACACCACTCACATTTTATGTATCAACATATAGTACTTTAAAAGAGACTCTTGCATGTCTAGAGGAAAATAAGTATAAAGTGACATATAGAACAATAGAAGCCTCCTACACCTGTCATAAATTCTTAAAAATTTAAGCATTCCCATATATTTTCACCATCCTCCTCCGTACTTTCCTTATTTTTGGTACAGAACATCTACTGATGTCTTGTGGAAGACACAAATAATATAAGTTGGAAAGCTCAGACCTGAAACCTAAGATGGGTCATACTGTAGATCACAGGGGAGCAAGAAAGCCATACATCGTGGGTAAAAAGGATAGAAAGGGTTAAAGATGCTTACAGCTTTTCCTACGCTTGTTTCCACAAGCAGAGCTTGAGATGAATACTGGTTCTTCATTAGAGCACAGCTTGATCCATGGATGACATTCTGTACCCAAGGGGAATTTGGAAATGGAGCAATGGGAAAGATGGAAGATTGTTATTTTGGCGAAATACACTTCCTAGAGAAAAACCACCAGGATCCTACTTTCTTTGCTCTAAAAATAAC